CCCAACAGCAGCTTTCGTTCAGAATTCTAAACACTAGATTACGGAGTCGGTTTTCGAAAAGACACAGATTTTGTGTTTTCGACTCTTAGAAGATCTACAGTGTACCAGTGTTGTTGGAGCACACCACTCTGTTGTTTTCATTTACAGTCAAAACAAAAATCTGAGAAATCCCAGCTATACTTAAAAACATTTTTTTCCTTGAGAATTCAACATAATAATAACAACTTTGACTTCGAGTTGGGGAAGTAAAAGCGGCGTGGAAAGGAACTGGCCACCTTACCACAATATGCCGGAGGCCCAGGAAGTTGTCTCACTAACAAGACAATCCCCAATGCCCAGATCGGATGCGGGAACAACTTTACTTTTTTAATAACAACTTGGGACTCTACATTAAAGAAAAAGAAAGAAAGAAAACCCAGACCCATTAATAAACTCCAAACATCAGCTCTTCAACCTACACTGACATCAAAGAAGCAAGCACGTGAAGGAATTGCCGAGTTGGACAATGGGGCGGCTCTAGGAATAGATTGTAACAACAGCGCATCCCTGCCGGGTATAAACCTCAGAGTACAGACAAAAACATTAACTGAAGGGAAGCATGCCAGTTTGTCACAGGCCCACCCCGCCTCGACTATTCCCTGCATGATGGAAGTTATCACTGACACTCTCAAAAAGAGTAAATGAATGATTGGTTGATTGTATGAATTGAATTTTATTTTTCAACTGTTTTTAACGTAAGAACATTCATTGTTGAAATTTTACAGAGTAATTTGCTTTGATTTGCATACACAAAGAGGAAGAAATATAGAACAACACAAGCTGAATTGGCATTTTAGAGGGACTATCTCTACACCACCAATTTGAAGGTGGAGGAAAAAAACTTAAGTTACAACTACAGTGTTAAAGTACTGTAATTATGACTGTCATCAATACTCAAATTCCTTAATGAAATTGTGACAAACTGGGCAGCCCCCAACTGAAGTCTACTTTTTATTTGTTCCAATTGAGATGTTTAGAAACGTCATTGTCCCCTCTCAATCGTTACCACTATCGACCCCACAATAACCCCC